ACGGACCAACACAGCGGGCAAAATCATCCGAAACCACCTACCTACAAGTTCATCACTACATAGGCTTTAAGACGAATTGTAAGAAATTTGAGTACGAATGAAAAGTACCTCTCTCGGCCACTTCTATGGGCGGGCTTATCAATTTGATGAGTTTGGTAGCACGACCGATTTCACCAAAACGCTGTGTCAAACTGGATCAAATAAATGCCTCTCTACAACAAAAAGTGGCCTTATAACAGTGGTTTGTAATTTATTCTTGAATAAAAAGGCAAGGCCTCACGTTCTGATGATGACGGTTGAAAAAATTGTTGCTCTTTTGCCGGAACGTGCTATCCCACTCCAAATACTCGACGGACACGGCAGGTCAATGCAAAATCATTTAACACACAAAAAAATTATAAAATGAATAAACCTTCGTTGGACGTCACGATGCTGCTGCTTGAAACACGACAGAAGGCAGATAAAAAAGGGCAAAAGTTTAATCATTGACCTCTGAATTGTGGGTTTTAGTCAAAAAGTTGTTGACTAGCCTTGTTTTCAACTCCAATTCGCAACGAGCCGGCTTCTTTCGGATAAACAAAGGCACAAATAATAATTTCAATAGCGAAATAAAGAAAGACCGTGTCTTGATCCATTTTATTGCGTGACGGTGGGAAACTTCAATTTTCCACCTGTGGAGGAATGTTTTAGTTTTTATATAAGGCATTTATTTCCGATCAACCATATCAAATCCAAAAGCGTGGGGAAAAATGGAAGAGAAGAAATAAGTACAGGAGAGCTTAACGTCCGAAGATCTCCAACTGATGAAGTTATATTACTCCACATTATTTTTATTTTGGGTGAAAAGAAGGTTAGACCAAATACCCAAATTATGATGGGCAAATTAGAGATGTTTTTATATTTTGGGTGAAAAGATTCATTATGCCGAATACCCAAGCTATTATGGGCAAATTAGAGGAGTGGGTTCCTTAGGTGGCCATTCACGATCGCTCCTAGCAGTCCAAACGGAGCGACTCCTTTCCAAAAACAATTCAATGGCAAAATTGAACTGGCGTGCCCGGCTTTGCCGAATATCCGACCGGTCCAAACTCCATCGCGCCACTCCAAACATATACGGCGCGACGACGGCATGGCGCGTTCGTGAATGGAAAAACCCGCGTTTTTTGGTGCAGTCTCCGTCTTTCTGTCACTGAACAAACATCTCCGTCGTACATTCTCAAAAAGTCAAAAACGTTTATTCTTTATTGGCAATGACATTCAATCGAGATTTTATTGTTGAGGTGATTGAATTATATGAAAGCTTACCATGTTTATGGAAAGTGGTGGACAATGATTACCACGATAGAAATAAAAGAAATTCGGTTCTCAACCGGTTGGTCGACGTTTTCAAAACAAAGGATACAAATGCAACTAGAGATGCGGTATTGATTACACCTAAGCGCTAGCGCTGAGCAGAAATCATAGTGGAGAACTTATGTTCTTCATAGTTCATCCCTAACAGCAGCGTAGCACAAGAGATCGTCATCCATTTTGAGAAGATAATTCACTAGATGACGTTCGGAGCTACTGTCTGTGGAGCGGTCGTGTATGCCCCCTCAAATTTCAGGCATTCCAAATGGATCTGTACGGCTTGGCGCGGTTTCATTTGGAGCGATCGTGAATGGCCACCTTTACTCTCATATGCATTTACCCGTCGTACAAGCTATAGTTGTCTATTTGGCAATGGTGCCAGCACTGGCCTGGCTTTTTTTAAATGTAATATTTTCATCTCTGTTATATTCTATCATGGAGTCTGTCACAAGTCTCAGAAAGTTGTTTTGCACAACTTACAACCTAACATTAATGATGATGATGATGGAATGCTAAGAAGAGAATACTGCAGCCTTCTGGCTTATTGTACTTCCCCTAGTTCTTTAGTTCAGTTGACTCCATCCTGCTGTTAAGAAGTATAAGGTCATTGTCTGCCATTGCTGTGAGTACTTTCCCTAGGCCCTCATTATCGTTGCTTCACATTCGAAGGTGATATGGGTGGCAGTTTTTTCCTCCATTGCCTAACTTTAATGGGGTTACCGTTGTATATAACCATGTTGTGTGGGTTTTTTCGTCGATGTGAGTGCCCAGTAGTCCTATCACATCCCAGAATTTTACTCGCCCTAGCTGTAGCAGTGTATTTGCCAGTTTTGTTGAGGGCGTTCTAATCATAAGTTCTGGCGCTTCTACAATCCGTCCATTCGTCATTTTGTTTATTGTGGCCTCTATCTGAGGTGTATGAGTCAGTGTTTATCCTTGATATTTCATTATAGGTTCTGTGCTAGCCATTGGTCACCAGGTTAACTTCTGTAATCTCAATGGCGAAGTAGGAAGTCGAAAATTTTTTATTTTAGATTTTATCCTGTGATCAGTGGAGTGATGAACTTTAATTGTAGCGTTATCGATCATCTAGGCCTGCCTATACCAACCAGATTATTCGCATTATATCGTAGGGACTGGTTATCAGTGGATCCCAAGAACCAACACTGAAGATGGCGAATGCCGAGATGCGTCTGACAGAGCAACCCAGTGTGAATAAGCAATCTAAAATGCAGCTCTCTCTCNTCTCTCTCTCTCTCTCTCTCTCTCTCTCTCTCTCAAGAAGAGACTCTAAAGAAGAATGGCACAGTTCTCGCACTCATTTTCGGATTTGTTCTTATAGATTTATTATTAATAAAATATGTATGTACATATTTGCTTGAATTTGAAGTTCCTCCAAATTAATAGAAATAAGTAAAGTGCAACGACGGCTTGAGTTACTCAGTGATGTGTTAGGATTAGTCAATGTAAACAGTTATATAATGGGATTAATTTTTGTCTAAGGATGATAGTCGCATGCACAAGGACGTTTATAAACAGCCTATAATTAGCACATTTAATCCTGCTGGAAGTAATTAACCTCGTTATTAGTTTGGCATAGTATGGGTAGACGTCAGAAAAACCTGTTGAGTCATACAATGTGCACAGTCCTGGTTGTTGGCCTTTTGCGCGTGAAAACAGCTTCGAGGTTTATCACAATTCCAAAAAAAAAGAACATTTACTTTAATTAATAAAATAAAAAAAATAGTGGAGCATCGTTACTTGCTTATTCCACAGATTATTTTTTGACATTGATAAAAGAAATTGAGATTAAACGGCATTACCTTTTATAAACAAAATAGGCCGCGATGACGGCATTTTTCTCCATGTGACAATAAACAACAAAACAATAAAAACAATCCGTTCAAATTTTCCTTTCACAAAATTATATTTAACACAATCAGCAAACCTTGATTTAGAAAATGTAATAGGTTGACGAAGCGTGGCAATTAATCAATTTAAGGTGTATTTTTTAAATTGACTCAAATTTCATTTTTTTGATCAGTGTATATTACTAATTAAATTTACGAACTATCAAGATATTACCTAAGATTTATGTATAATTCCAATTTATAATTTTAACAGACAATTTGATTACCTTAAATCCATCCCGTTTTTCCAGAAAAATGTATTATTTTGTCATCGTTTTGCCTGAAATTTTTAAGTTCAGAAGGCCATTTAGATAAATAAGAACGAAAATAGAGCCCAAAACTGGGCCTTTTCGAACTCCACAGCTGATGGATTTTAAGGAACCTTTGGATACCCTTATGTTGGTTTTCTTGACCCTTAAAGGTTTATACGAGTAATTCCAATTTCTGATTACTTTCTCTTTAAAACATTATAATTCACATATGCATTAGTTATATTAATATTATAGTAATAATAATATCCAAAGAAATTACAATTGACTAAGTTAGGGCGAATGGGGATAAACCCCCTGTCGATAAAAATCAATATAAATGAGATCTTTAGCGAATCCCTCCCTCTAAATGTGTCTGCGTTTGTACAATATAAATTAATAACGTAATATTAAAAAGATGGATGGTCAAATCGACTGAACGTATAAACGAATGAATCGCTTTTATTCGTAGTGAATTGGATGAAAAAAATCCCAGTTTTTGAAGAAAAGCATCCACAAAATTGATAAAAACTAAGCAAATTGTAGCAATGTTTTGCTGAAATAAAACGATGTCATGTATGCTGATGACGTTAATAATAAGTGCTTAGAAAATCAGGAAGCGTTAGATTATACACTTTCACTGTTATCAATGATCAACCTGTTTTAATAACTGATGATGCTCCACTTCACGGCTTCCACTGATGAGGGTCGAGGGAGTTTTGACCGAAAGATTGAAGGNTAGATAGATAGAGAAAGAGAGAGTGAGAGAGAGAAAGAGGGAGAGAGGTGGAGAGAGAGGGTAGAGAAAGAGGGAGAGAGAGAGAGAGAGAAAGAGAGAGAGAGAAAGAAGGAGAGAGGTGGAGAGAGAGGGTAGAGAAAGAGGGAGAGAGAGAGAGAGAGAGAAAGAGAGAGAGAGAGGGTGAGAAAGAGATCGAATGAGAGAGAGACTGAAAGAGAGAGTGTGTACGTGAGGAAAATTGAAAGAGTGAGAGAGAGAAACAGAGAGAGTGAGTGAGAGGGAGGGAGAGAGGGAATGATGGAGAGATGGTGAGGGAGAGATGGGTAAGAAAGAAAGAGAGAGTTTGAGGGGGCAAAGCAAACAAATTTTATGGCATGTTTAATTAATTAAGCAGTTGTGTTATTTAAAATGAACGCTTGTAATTTCCTTGCTAAGAATAATTTTTCGCTAATTAATTAAAATCGTCGTAGTTACAATTTAAATATTGCAACGCACCTGCGGAAAATTAGCTTCTGGCCTGAATATGAGCTGTTGACAAACTGGTTTGATTTACCGTAACGAAACTCCATAGGAAGAACTTATTAAATGGCACGAATCAATCGGTCTTGCTATCCTTTTGCCCTTCTCTCACTGTATAAACATTTCTCGCTTACTTCTTCTACTTATTTATTATCCATCAGCCAATTTATATATTATCTAGCTGTACTATAAAACATGTTCTTCACATTTTTTTTGTTTGTTTCTTATTTGCAGGGACCTGCTGGGACTACGGCGCGGTTTATTTCATGCAAAGTTTTATTTTTAATCTACTCGACTTTCTAAGGTAAGATTTTCTGCTACATAGTCATAATGTAGGTCAGATTTTGATAGATTCCTTTCACTTCGCTATACTTAAAATCTTATCTTTGTCCCGCAGTGTCCTCCGCGGGTTCTACCCTTTCATTTCGTACCGTCCTCAAGTCCAAAATAAGCCCCCAGCTCAATTACCTCAAGGCTCAAGCGACCAAGCTTCCCTTTTTTTTACTGCTCTATTAAAGACTTCCCTAAATCCATAAAATACTGTTCATAACACCTTTATACAGATGACTTACAAATTTACGATTCCTTCCCACCTCCTGTCTTAAACTAGAACTTTCGCACAGTTGAAAATAGGCTTAACTCGACCATAGAAAAGTTCCAGGCTGGTTTGGTTTGCAGCCGGTATCTTCTTACATTCCTTACACTCCTAACCATCCGTTTTGCATAATTCCAACCGCTGCAGTATGCTTTGAAATTACCGCAACACATTAGAATTTAGGTAATCCAAAAATCCGTTTCTATCCGTAATGCTTTTCATATTTTTTCCTACATTGGGAAGGAATATATGAACCATCCTTTAGTAATTTTAATCCCGTCTGATCTCACACGATATGCCAAGTTAACTTTTGAGGAAGCCTGGCATTTGGTTCTGATTTGTGGGTGTCTTTCATACGCTTTCAGCGTGAGCACAGTTGGCTCCTTTTCGCCCTTTAACTCGCGGACTATCTTGATTTGAAGGTAGATTGTTTGAACGTAAGCTAAAACTTGGCGAAGTTCTGGACAGGCTGTCCTATTGCCTATAGGCTTTTATCTTCTTAAAAGGGAGATTTTCTGACTTTGTTCTTTGCTTTCTTCCTACTCTTGGTGGTCTTCTGTACTACGCTATTGTAAGCGTTGGAAAGCGTTTTTGACTCAACCCCACAAGTTGTTTTGCAATTGGGCATAGTTTAGAGAAGTGGCACTTGATTATTTCTCAGGTCTTCATTAAAGAATGAGAGACACGGAAAGAGAAATAGAGATAGATAGAAAGATAGAGAGAGAGACANAGAGAGAGAGAGAGAGAGAGAGAGAGAGAGAGAGAGTGAAGTAACAGCAGGTTCCATACCTTTAAACCTAAATAACCCCGAGTATTCTCTAAGCTTAGTTCATAGTTGTTAAATCAACCTTTAAAAAAATCATATTCTCAACAAAGATCGTGACACCCGAAGTTGTTGACAAATTATAAAGGAGTGTAATTGGAAGGAGGAAGAATCAGTCAGACAGTACTGAGGTGTGAACGACCCTTCTGCTCTTCATATCGGCAAGGTCGTCCGTAGAAGACCTACCAACCTTGGCACACCAACAAACAACAACAACAAACAACAAATCGTAAAGAGGCTTCCATTCACGTCGAAGAACCGTGTCAACGCACCCTCCTTCCGCCTTACCCTAGCCGTCCTCTTGACGGAAAATAACAGTACACTTCATTCAGTATTTTTATTTTTTTAATGACACTTCTGTTTTGCAATGAATTTTTTCCTATATGCACCACTGCTATCACTCCAATGTCCATAGTCAAGAACCAATTGTGTTCTATTAAATTAGTTTCAAGAGGTCGACCTATATTGGCCTATTGTGCAATCTCTATTATTTTCTTTGCAAAGAACTGTCGTGTGTCCTTTAAGCTTTGGCTTTTCTCTTTCTCGACAGCTTGCAAAGGCATCCCGCAAACAGAAAACATATTTCGCTGTTTTTTGTTTTTTCCAGAAATATCTGTACAGGCTTGTTTCAGCTGGAATGAGTCTATACCACCTACGGGGCCTGAAGTGCCGAGTCCGCATTCTAGTCGTAACTAAGTTTAGTGGTTTTGCCGCTAGTTTCTGCGTTGGTTCTTTAATGAACTTTTCGCGTGTGTTAATGGAATACATTCTGATTGAACTGAGCACTCACTGTTAACCAATTGTCTGATGGATCTACGTTTTTGGCGGTTTGGTATGGTATTCACATTATGGCTCTAGCTTCTCCCTGGATGGACATGTGCAGCGGTGGTAGGTTCAAGAGGACTTCCAGGTCAGCAATGGAGCTTCTCATGCTCCAGTAATGCCCAGGCTACTCTCTGAATAGTACTTAGGATCTTGGGGACTTTACATGAACCTATGTTGAACCCCTGCAAGGGCCTTTTCACAAATAGAAAATATGTTTCGCTGTTTCTTATTTTTCTAGCAATATCTGTACGGGTTTGTTTCTGCCGTTATGAGCCTATACCACGTACCTGGGGGGCTGCAGTGTCCAGTTCGCAGTCTTATCTTTCAAGTCGTAACTAGATTTAGTTCTACGATGGCCCTTTGATGAGATTTTTCACATGTGTACACACAGTAATGCTGAAAAGCGTCCTTCCCGACCTTGGTGGACATTTACTACCGTCATCTGCAGTCAAGAAAGGATTAACTGACGAAACGAGAAACACAATCAATCAAAAACTATCGGTAGTGGATCTAATTTCATTTGTATTTAAAAAATCTACTTTTCTCACTAAAAAAAGGAAAACAACTGAGTACACACATAGGAGAAACCAGAACGCGCTCCTAATTGATTCTTATCAGATAGAAACGAGGATAATATGCGGACCCGTCGCGACTTCGTCCCAGCTTTTTTTATGCAATCGCGTCTTCGAGAAAAGTTAAATTTGGATCAAAGGCCTGAAATTTGAGCCGAATGATCCAAGGTTGTTGAAATCGCGTTGATTTGCTACGACGAGCGCTCATAATTTTTGAATACCAGTTTTGTGTGATAAAGGGAATTTGACCTTTTTGTCCATAACTTTTATGTTAAACTTTATTGATTTTTTTGAAAACCATATTAAGAAATATTTCGCAAAAAGTTAAATCCATTAAAGGCCACGGGGATATTTTTATAACATAATTATTCATTTATAATCTACAATGAAGTCGTGAGAGCATGATTTTTTTTCTAATAATTACCAAACAGATATGTGTGTGCAACGTATTGCATAAACGGATTACGCGCGTGTTTATGCGTATTGTGATTCGCCGAGATTTGTATTTGAAGGACGGGTCGCCTTACGTCTCAGCGGACCTTGCCACCTGACTTTATCCTCGTATCCTGTAGTCGTAGACAATGCCGGCCATTTTGTAAAATAGTTTTTACTAGAGATGGGCCTCTGCTCGCGAGCTGATCAAAAGAGTTAACTCAATTTACTGAGCGTGCGAGGAACTACCCTGAAAAAAGGGCGGTATCTCTGATAACCCCTCCACTCCGATACTTACCCTTCACCGATTTCCGCTGAATTTTGAATTTGCTTTTACGACCTCTCAACAACTTGACATGTGACTTCTTCCAGTTTCCCCTCCAGCCTCTCTTCGCTCCAAAGAGTCTTTGCTCGAGCCGCTCTCCGCCCCACACACTCTTAAACTTATAGTTGCTCCGTCTTCATTGTATAGCTTACAAGTGGGGTCATCATTGAATATACCAAGAGATGGAACGGAGAGCTGTACGAGCGAACAGCTGTAGGTACGAAGAACTATAATAGCTATAGGATCGAATAGCTGTAGAAGCGAAGAGCAGTAGGAACGAAGAACTGCACGAGAGAAGAGCTGGAGGAGAGAACAGCTGTAGGAACGAAGGGCTGTAGGGGCGAAGAGCAGTCGGAGCGAGGCGGTAGGGGAGAAGAGCTGTAGGAACGAAGAGCTTTAGAAGCGAAGAGCTGTAGGAACGAAGAGCTTTAGGTGCGAAGAGCTGTAGGAACGAAGAGCTGTAGGGCGAGTAATTGTAGAAGCAAAGAGCTGTAGGAGCGGTAGGAACGAAAGCTGTAGAAACGAAAAGCTGTACGAGCGAAGACTTCTAGTAGCGGTGAATGCGAAGTTAATAGTTATAGTTTTTGTTTGGAGCGAAGAGCAGTAGGAGCGGTATGAGCGAAGAGAGCTGTAGGAGCAAAAAGCTTTAGAAGCGAAGATCTGTAGGAACGAAGAGCTTTAGAAGCGAAGAGCTGTAGGAACGAAGAGCTTTAGATGCGAAGAGCTGTAGGAGCGGTAGGAACGAAAGCTGTAGAAACGAAAAGCTGTAGGAGCGAAGAGTTCTAGTAGCGGTGAAGGCGAAGTTAATAGTTATAGTTTTTTTTAGAAGCGAAGATCTGTAGGAGCGAAAAGCTTTAGAAGCGGAGACTGTAGGAGCGGTAGGGGCGAAGGTGAGGCTTTTGACCGATTGCGTAAGTTCATAAAACGGCGGAACGAACATTAGGCAGTTTATTTATTAGAACGATTTCTTTTGATGATGGCATAATGACATAATTGGATTTACTATTTCGTTGAGCTGCCCTGATAAATAACGAACACGTAAGTGGCCACTCGTGCAAATTCGTTTTTAATATTAAACTATATCGATGGATATTCGGACAAAAGCATTGTTTAAATAAAAACAAAAATATTATTGTCCAATTAAATCAATATTACCATCTAATGAGGGGCCTGTCTGTGCTGTGACCATGGTGTGTCAGGTACAGTTAGGCCTCTCTCTTTTTTAAATTTATTTATTTGTACTTTTTGTTTTATTTAAATGAAGTCTGAAAATATTTACGTGTTTTAGGTAGTATATTTATAATATAACACGTTTTCGCCTATTTCGAAATGGCCGTCGCTGAAAAGTCAGGCCTTCCTCATAAAATAGCCGATTTATCTATAACAGATTTACATTTCTACGGTCCCTGTTTGTCTAGCTTGTATATTTTTATATTTGTCAATGACGGTTGGCTGTGAGACTTCCTTGTTTGCCGCCTCGGCTGGATCAAGAAATTCCAGCGTGACAACAAACATCCATCCTGCACCCACCTTTCAACCAGATTATCCAGTTGATTTTGTTTTACACACCGGTTTCAAGTTGGTTTAAAAAAAACTGTTTGTTTATATATACGTAATATATGTATAATACATGACATTCCATGAGAACTTTTTTTTTTCTTTTGTACAGATGCCACAACCGCCTATACGATTCAAGATCGGAAAGATGAGAATCCCCGATTGTCCTTTGTTT